TTTAACTCAAACATGATATATGTGATACAAACTGAACCAAAGGGGTTAGCTTTGGTATGTGGGGAATATACTGATTACTATGAGGTTGCTGTTGTACCAGAGGAGCGGAAATCAGTATATTAGGGTTTTAAGGTTTAAACAAAGGTCTAGACCAAATTCATTCATATGCAGCGATAAACCACATTATTTTTAAGAAAAACTGTCCATTTAATTTCATTAAATTATCTAATTAACGAAAAAAATTATAATTAATAGTACATGTCAGCTGGGAAAATTCGTGGACCGATTACACACATTTTCGGCATTAAACTATAGTATATCTATTATTTTGCGTTTATAAAGGGTGTTTTTCAGAGGTATAGAACTTTAAATTGCAATAAAACAACGATGGATTATTCGATTAACATGAATTTTATTCATCCAAAAGATAATCTTGTGGCATTACATTTTAAATATGGACGTCCAATTTTCGATGACTTTTTTCAACATTTGTGGCCGGCATATCGGCAATAACACGGCGAATGTTGTCTTCCCAATGGTTAAGCGTTTGTGGCTTATGCGCATCGACCAATCACTTTACATAACTCCACAGAAAGTAGTCTAGCAGTGTTAAATTACAAGATCTTGGAGGACAATTCACAGGTCCAAAACGTGAAATTATGCGGTCACCAAACGTGTCTGTCAATAAATCCCTTGTGGCACGAGCTGTGTGACATGTTGCGCCGTCTTGTTGGAACCACAGCTCCTGAACATCATGGTTGTTCAATTCAGGAAAGTTAGTAATCATGGCTCTATACCGATCACCATTGACTGTAACGTTCTGGTCATTATCGTTTTTGAAGAAGTACGGACCAATGATTCCACCAGCCCATAAAGCGCACCAAACAGTCAGTTTTTCTGAATGTAACGGTGTTTCGACATACACTTGAGAATTAGCTTCACATTAGCTTCATTCAACCAAAAATTTCGAAATAAAATTGCACTATTTGCAAGCGTTGTTCAGGCGTGAGTCTATTCATTGACAGCTGTTAAATCCGTTGCCATCTTGAACAGTAATGTCAACTTAAAGTTCTATACCTCGAAAAAAAACACCCGTTACATATGGTAGATAAAAATGCCGAGAGAAAAAAATGCTTCAAGAATAAAAAGGTGTGGCTCCCTTCCTACTTTAATGTTTTTGAAGAATACGTGAAATACGACGTAGTGTTTTATGCTCTCATCACATTTGTATTAAATTTTCTCTTAACATATTGTTGATGTTGGAGGAAACTAATTTGTTTTGTACGATTTTGAAAATCATTAATATATAACTCAGTTCATGCATTGACTTTCAGTCGAAAATATTTTTTCACGATTCTTTAGAAAGTCAACAGACTCGGGATTAAGTTTTTGAGCATGCAGTTTAAAATCTTCCAATCTTCAATTATTTGGAACTTAGGAGTGAGCTTTTCAAGCTTTAGCGACAGCGAATTCGTCGATAATAGTCTGGAAATCCAATTTCTTGGCTAATTCTGCCTGAAGAAAATTATTGATTCTTGCTAAAGCACTAAAAGAACGTTCACAACTTGAAAGCGATGCAAATATTGGGAAAAGTCTTCATAATTTTCAAGCATTGATGGCTATCGACAAATTGAATGTAGTAAGACGAGTTTCAAAATTTTAATCGTAAACGTGTCTGAGGTGAATAGCTGCATTGGACAACTTGTCAGATACATCAACGGAATACTTTTTTGTAACAATTTTTGCAGCTGCGTAAAGTTCACCTTCTTTCATATCATGGAGCTGCCATAGAAATGAGAACGTTTTTTTTTTTAATTCAATTTCATCTTTTCTGCAAATTTCATCCACTTCTTAATGTTCGGGGTTTTTTCTGATAATAAAATCGTCACGACATGCTTTACATTTTGCATTCATTATCTTTAAAGAACCAAGTTTCTTTCATTGACTGGGATTATCAATGCGGGAAGATTTTTCGCAAATGGCTTGGCGGCATCGATTGTGGCAGACCTCCTTGTATTAGAAAGACAGCGAAGTGAATTCGGTATTTTAAATTTCAGAATTTCACAACGTTATGTGTTGCTACTGAAAATATTGAAACATTTTGGAACGGACAAAAAAAGTTATTGCTTAGGATAGCATTTAACCGAGTCGACCCCAACCAAATTCAGCAGGGCGTAAGAACTGCATATTTATTTTTACGTTGGATGTGACTTTATGCCCCTTCATATTCACCGATTATATTTGATCCCCTATTACCGCCCGCACCCCTTTGTAACGGGCTGTGTACGAATCAGAAATGAGCACAAATATTATGATATGTACATAATATGTACTATGTATGGATATGGCTTAGTAATGCGTGTGCCAAATTGAAATGATACAAAATTGTGAATGCCAAAGTGATATCTCTTCATTTTGAACTATTGAGATTGACATTGATGATAATATAGGATTAATGTAATGAGGACTCTTCCTGCGTTCATCTAAGTGGCTCTGGACATAGAGTGACTGGCATGCGGAAGTCCGTTTCTAAATCAGTGCAGTATATGATATAATATAAGCAACACAGGCGTACAACGGCTTGCACTGTATACTAGGAGATCATTTTTCTGGTGACCATCACCGTGCTTTTTGACGCTTCACTTGCGTCGTTCATTCCATTTACTCTGGTGTCCTTGTCAAATTGCAATTCCATTCAACTATACTGACATTGCGGCTAAGTGGTTATTGAAATGCGAACGAACGTGCTGAATAGCAGAAATCTTCACTGCAGTAAGTTCATAGATACGATTCGTTCATGTACACGGCACAAATTTGTATCATGCGTTTATTTATATCTACATATACATATACTCGTATATATATACATATATACATATATGCGTGTTTATGCATATGAAACTGAATGCAGAGCTATTGAAAATTGATTGCCGCAAAGCAACTGCCTAAAGCTTGACGTTCTCATATGGTTATTGGAGCAATTCAAGCATTAGTGGCAAAACTACATTAGGAAATTTTCTGGGATTTAACAAAATTATAATAGCTTTTTCAATTACTTATGTTTTTTGATTAAGCACTTATTTCTATGAAAAGAGTATTGCAATGAAATTTTTATTGAATTATTTCATTATTGGCAAACAGAAAAAAATTTTCTTTTCCACTTCACAGAGTGGCTATATATGGCGCAAAACTCATGTTTTTTAAGTTAGACAGTTTTAGTTTGAGAGTCAACCCTTTCTTTTTACTTTATGTTTAAAGCATTTTTATATAATAAACAATACAATTTTTAAGCAAGTTATTAACTTATTTTACGTTTTATATGTTTTTTATTTAAAAATATAATACTTAACAGAGCAAAATATTATTGTTTGTTACAAAAAAATTCTTAGTATATTGTAGAACACGCCCTCCTCCTAATGACCCAGGCTATTCGTTTAGGCATGGATTCACACAAGCGTTAAAGAAAATTTTTATTAATTTAATCATTCCACACAGCTTCAACAATTGTTTCCATTCTTTTAGACTTTTGGACGCTTTTCTCTTATCATTTTGCCATATATTGCCAGAAGTTCTCAATTGGATTGAGATCTGGACTGTTTCCTGGCCACGTGAGAGACTCAATTCCATAAAAATTTTTTTGGTTTTTAACCTGTAAGTGTTTGTAATGAGTTATTGAAAAATCTTATTCAATAATTTTATACTTTAGCTACCGTTTTGTGCTTTATGGCAAGGGGCTGAATCATCCTGAAAATAAACTTTTTGAGTGTGTTCGAACAGCCTTCTTTCAAAATTGTCATGAATTTTTGGCATTAACAGATTCTTTATGAATACAAGCTGCCCAACACTAAACTTGGTTACAGCCCTCCGTACCATTAAAAAGGGCGAATGCTTTACGGTGGGCAAAACACAGCTTTCCAAAAAACGCTCTCCTTTCCAACGACGCACTGTGGCACTTCGGTTGGGTCCACATAAATTAAATTCGGATTTGTCGCAAAAAATAACATTTCTCCAGTCAAATGCAGTCCAAGTTTTATGTGATTTTGCCCACTCTCGCCGCTTTTCCTTCATTCGGATAATAAGAAGTGGCTTTTTGGATGGACGTCGCGCTCGTAATCCAAGATTATTCAAGACATATTGCGTAGAATGTGTAGTTATTTTTACCCCTGTAGTTTCGTAAAATATTAAATTGATTGTTCCAGCATGTCGAAAAAAATCAGTAATGCACATCCGTTTAATTTGTCGTTCATGACAAGGTTTCACTTTTTTCGGACGCCCACTGCCCTTTTTTCGATTTATAGAATTAAAATTCGTATAATTTTTAATAATATTGCACACACTCCAATCACGTATGTCCATTTTATGAGGTATTTGAATTTTGGATAATTTATTTTTATATAAAGCTATGATTTCTGCTTTCTTCTCTATTGACAACACCATGTTCAACTTTTCTTATTTTTACAACTGACTCAAAACAAAATACCGCAAGTACTAAAATAAACACGTGCAGAAACTAACGTTTTCAGAAATAACGGTCAACTAATGTACTCACATAACAAAAAAGTCAAATAAAACAATTAGCTTATTTTAAGGGAATAGTGACAGTTTAAAAATGGAATATTGAAAATTTTCGACTGCGTGGCTTTTGTTTTCTCTGACTGTAGATATATGTATGTATGTACATAGTACATATGTAACTACACCAACTTTAGCGTAATGGGAAACCAAAACTCTCAATAATATCAAATTTTTTCGTTGAAATCTTATATTCTCACAGGAACTAAAACCATAACATATATTTAAGGTTCAACATTTATAGTCAATAAAATAGGTCTTCAGTTATCTTCTAACAAATACATTTTTTACCGGATATACTGGTAGATTCTGGTCCAAATTAGATCTTCTTTCTTAATTGTTTAATTTCAATTTCAAATTATTATGAGCAATAATTTATATGAACACATTTTTAAAGTGAAATAAATTTTGAACAATTAGGTACTTACATAACATTTGGTTTTGCGAAGCAACTATCGTAAAAAATATTATCAGAGACATAAGTCGCAAATCGTAGAAATTTAATAAATGCCTCATTCTTCTCTCTTCCTTTCTTTATTATGTACGGAAAAAATACCGTTGCCGACTGTCTTTTCATTTTACGTTCTCGGTCCTGCGAATGATTTCTCTTGTACTGCATTAAATAATATTTTATTCCCTGATTTCCAACGTAATTCCATTATTCTTCTCTTAGCATCACTTGTGGCAAGATTATATTTAGTTTTGGTCACTATATTAATATATTATTGCTTCTTACTAACTGTCATATTCATTCCGTAGGATGTTAGAAGTTTGTTATTGAATTTTAAGTTAAAAGTTATAAAAAATTTATTAAAGCAAGATTCACCAATTACCATTTTTTTTACCAGATTTCTACATATTACAGTTAACATCTTCATTTAAATATCCACTTCAAATTTAAATTTGCTAACAGAAATCAGAACATACACATACGTTATGTAGAGGTTATGTGAATGCTTTCGTACATCAATCAATTCAATTTACCTTCGTTATATTAAAAAATCACGATGTATTCGAGATATTTATGGTACCCGACCGATGTTAGTCACTGTCGGCTAAAATACTAATATGAGTAGAATTTAGTTATTCTTCAAGTGAAAAACCCTTAACATTTCATTTATGATCGATGTTGAGTAAGGTATTTTACTTTTATGCTTCGAAAGTGATGTCCCTACGGCGATAGATAAGAATAATTCATATCTCTGAATACTTTTATAAAATCATTTCTGGGTGTCCATCAATGAGCAACAACTACCCTTTAGCTTTTTCTAAAAGTAGAATATATAATATATAAGTATATCTAAATGTCTAAATTATCAAAATTTAAGTAAGGAAAACTCTTGGATTAAAAGAGGTAGACAATTTAATTTTTATCTAGAATTTGTAGTTAAAAAGGTAGTCGAGTGATAAAATTCTTTGAGTCATATGAAAGATGACAGCATGATTCACAAAACGTAAGAAGCGACGGTAGGGATTTGTAGAGTTATCCGTAAAACTTGCTTTATTGGCGATTGGCTTGGGAGTAAATTTTAACAAAAATGGTGACTAGAATCCGACAATGTGATTTAAGTATTTTGTGAAAAAATTCGAAGTGAATGTATTTTTAAAGTCACAAATGATATTTGTTCATTGATAGTAAATAACACTTAATTAGCTTATTATGTAAAATATTTGTGAATTGTGCATATGTTGTAAGTAGGTATATTTACTTATTTATTCTTATGAGAAATCTTAAAATATGCTTATTAATTCAAAAATTGTTCTGTTTTCATCATCATGATTGTAGGACACATCTTCTTTAATCGAATATTTTTTTAGGATTACACAAATATGGCATTTATATTTTAAACACCGTAAGCTTTATTTCCAAGGCCTAACAGTCTTACAAATGTCGAGTTCAGTACATATTTGTCTGTGTCGCTTTACGAAATGAACCTCACAGAAATTTCTGCGATGATGTGGACTACAAAATATATTGTAATTTAAGTTTTTATGGTTTTACTGTTAACAGGTACTATAAATTTTCTTTAATATTTAACTTCGTTAACTTTGAACTGGCATCTTCAACTACTAAATGATAATTTTCGAATGACTCGGTTCCATTCCGATTTAAATTGGCATAGTGGCATAAATACAATTTGTGTATGTACAAAAGCGTGTAAAGTATGAAAATTCACTAAATGCGGATTTTCGAGAGCATTTGCCCTTTAGTGCACAATTTCTTTTAAGTTTTGGGTCAACGCTTTCATCTTTATTCTCTTAATTGGCGTTTTACGCCTTAATATTTCATGGCCACTAAAAATTTTTTACTCAAACTAACACACATAATCACTTTATTGCTTGTATATCCGGTATAAAGGCTGAGCAATACCTTCATTTAACAATCTGTGTGATGGGATTTTTTTGATATTTAACATACGACATTTAAGGTTTGAATGGCTTCCGCTTTCTGGCAAATAACTTTTTATGAGCAACATTGACTTTTCACACTTTTAACTGCCATTTGTATATACACTGGCTAGCCCTTTTTTGGTTATACTGATGTATTATCCGCATTCACTCGCACGGACATCTTCAGAAGCAGGAACAAACTGTTCGCAAATACCACATCTGTACGCAGCATCCACTATTCTACTTGTAGTTAAGTCAAGTCAAACATACCACAGTGTTGCCTTAGTGGTGGAGTAGGCAAATTCAACATGTTTTTGCCACTCATTTGCCATTTTTATTGAGTGAGCATACAAAAACCTTGAGTGCTTTATTTGCCGGATTGTGGGCGAAAACTTAAATATCATAAGTGTACAATAGTGTGCAACAACAAATGCTATAGAAAGGTGTTGTGGCGGAATATAGGACCTTAAGTTAGATAATTATTATTGTTCAGAACAAATTAAATAACATTTATTAAATGATTATAGATGTATAACAATTCATTACTCAACGAAACCGTGCATGGCTTACAATCACATTTTGTATCTTATTAACTTATTTTATAGATTATTGACTCACTTAGTTTCATTACTACATTTTGCTTCGTGTCCGAGATATTTACATTAAAATCAACAACACCCTAAATTAGGTAAATGTAATATAAAGCAACCAAAGAGAAAAGCTTAACATATCTGGCATAGCAAAAACAGAATTGGAAATTAGTTATTACAATATACCATATGTTTAGGGTTTAGACCAAATGTCTAGACCAGTTTCATTCATACTCAGCGTTAAAATAAAATGTGTTTTAGAAAACATATCCCCTTAATTTAAGTAAAATATCACACACAATAAAAAGTTTAAGGTTAGGTATTATGTTGGAAACCACTTAATAGGATATATTGGGGCTACGGGGAAGGTTTGGACAGATTGCATTGCCTTGCTAGAGTCACGAAAATAATTATATACTTCATCATCTCTCTTATAAAATTTGATGTCTCTGACACATTTATTTACTGAGTTATAGTACTTTTGGTAGTTTTTAATGTAACTGTTATAGGGAGAGTGGGTGTAGTAACCATATGATTTCACCTATTTTCATAGTGAATAAAGAGCTGTTAAAAAACTTAGTTTAATAATTTCATTAGTGTGTGAGATATGTACATTAAACGCATTGGTTGATTACGCCCACTTTTTGAATATTGTCAACCCACAAATGCCCCTCCACTGCCATTTCGTGTATCAAATTATGTTATATTTTAATATTGAGCACACTTATAACATTTTAAAATTCCCGATTCCGCTCGTTTGCAATACACTCCTTCTCCTCGTGGATATTTTTCGCTTGCACTGACGGCTGGACAGACATACACACGAATTTCAACTCGTCTCGTCATCCTGATTATTCATTCGAAAATTTACATACAAAAATTTTTTTCGTACAAAACATTTTTATACCCTGAACAGGGTATATTAAGTTTGCCCACGAAGTTTGTAACACCCAGGAAATATATGATCAGCATGATAAGCTGAGTTGGTTTAGCCATGTCCGTCTGTCTGTCTGCCTGTATATATGCAAACCAGTCCCTCAGTTTTTAAGCTATAGATCAGAAATTTTGCTCCTGTCCTTTTCTCACTTAAGAAGCTGCTCATTTGTCGGAATGGCCGACATCGGACCACTATAGCATATAGCTGCCATACAAACTGAACAATCAGAATCAAGTGCTTGTATGGGAAACTTATTTATTTGACGAGGTTTCGACGAAATTTAGCATGGATTATTGTTTAAGGCAATAATACAATCTCCGATGAAATTGTTCAGATCAGGTCACTATAGCATATAGCTGCCATACAAACTGAACGATCGGAATCAAATTCTTGTAAGGAACCTTTGTATTTGTGAAGGGTATTATAGTTTCGGTGCAACCGAAGTTAACGATTTGTCTTGTTTGTGTGTTCTTTAAGGCAAAATATTGAAAACGTATTTTTTGTTTCAACTCAATTTGAAAATTTTTTTTGAAGTTAAGAAATTCCAAAACTCTTTTTCAACTTAAAAAACAAATACCTTTAAACATATGTATGCGAGCTTGCCATTAAAACTGGTGGTTTTCGATAATGCTTTTCATAAATTTTTGATTACTTATCTCGTGCCATTACAAAGCCGTGATGTAATCAAATTACGAAGCACAATAACCAGAGATCCCTTCTTTAGTTGTAAATGGTGCGGTAGCATGTCCGGTATATCCCATGAATTCAAAAACTTGATTGGATAATTCCCAGCATGGTTGGCATCGCAAATAGCACTGATAGATTTGTATGACACCAAGTCCTCTGAAAGAAACTATTGTATCTCTAAATTTAATCCATTGATGCCTACATTTTTTGCTGCCAAAATAACTCTTTCTTATTTTTTTATGTGTACATAGGGTAATATATTGTCGATGAGAGAATTTTGTGAGTTGATGATTGAGAAATTTGTCGGTAATTTTATGTTCCAGTATTTTCATATATAGCAAAATTTTTATTGCCAATATCTAATAGTTGTTTTGAGAAAGTTTCACCAGATGGATCTTGAAACATGTGAATGCGCATGTTCACTGTCAATTGTACTTTTTTAACATTACGCCACAGTCCATATAATTTTAAGAAAACGTTGATTTCATAATTGCGAGAAACAGTCGCTGCCAATTCGACAATATAATAAATATATATTGAAATGACAATGGTCTGGTGACACTAACCAACAACAGTCGCAGACAAAAGCACTCATTGTGCCTTGGCTAGACTGTATATACACGACGCAAATTATTTGATTTTAATGAACTGGGGCAAGCATCAACTGGTGTGCCTGGCTGGGGAGCATCCATTTTTTCGATTGAGCTCATGTAAAATAGCGTGGTCCTTCTGAATAGAGGAGTGTTTGTGCAAAAAACCCAAAAATATCCGGACGATTACACCATTCAATTCATTCGGTGAGAGTAGTTTTTGGTGGATTATAGCGCGATTCAGAGCTGTTTTGTTCGTGAAAAATACGCGTTGGCTGTTTTCAAGGTGCACAAAGAAATAATGTTGAATTCACTATTTATATACAATTTATTTAGATTCGGAGGATGTTCGAGTCTCAATCACTGCGGCAATATAACAGAGCATTATATTTGACTTAAAAATGTTTCAACATTTGAAAATGGCAAGCGTTCGACGAATTTGTATTTTGACATTTTATGAACGCAAAACTGACAAAATCGGCATCAGCAAAATGTATGATGGAAGAAGAAAGTTAAGCAAAATCGCTGTTTAGTTTGTAATTAATAATGTTTTAAGTACGTACACGAACGCATAATATATTACTCTAAATGCTTTTTCCAACCAAAATTAATTTTTAGATTCCACTTCTCAATCTTAAGTATTAGCTTAGTATCTGCAGAAGAATAATAGTTTTGCAATATTGGTGCAGTTATTTGCTTGCTCGAACATCCCCTGACACTGAAAAATTAAAATGTTGATTGTGGATTAAACAAAATAATATACAAATCAGCGGTTGAGCATATAAGGGTGAAAATTAGAGTTGTATGTATTTTTCAATGCTAAATTGTGAAAAAATAAAAACAAAAAATTTTGTCCAAAAATATATAAAAAAGTACTATTGGGGGTGTACCTCTTTTAGTTAACATTTAGGTGTATTAGGCATAAGATGTTGGCAGATTCTCAGACCTAGCCGATAAGCACACCAAATTTCATCAAAATCCAGCCGTTTCAAAGGACACCGTGACTCGAGAATTTTATATAGGTACATGTTAGATATATATATAATATGTTTCTATCTTGTTCTATATCGCCGTTAGGCGAACACACCTATTATACTCTGTAAAAACATAATGAGGGAGTATAAAAATATTTTTATATTTGACACTTAACTTGAAATATGTCTTATGAGAAAATATGTACACACAAGCAAAATGAAATAAAAATATTAAAAAGTCATTTTATATTTTCAAGTATATTCAACAGGAATCCCAATTTTATTTGAGGTGGAATAAAATCGTATAACTAACAAACGTAATGAATTGGATACAGTTGCCTAGATATGCATGTAGATTACAAGTAACATAATATTTTACTTTTAGATATGATATGAACATATATTTACGAAATGCAACGGCAAAATTGTCGAAAAATTCGACAGTTTTGATTTCAACTTTCCGTTTCAAAGCGGGAGATTCTTCAGCATCGGAAGGGTCGAGACAACCTCAGGGGACTAAACCAACGCCTCTAAAGGCAGTCCCACCAGCAGTTCCTCCTGGTGTTCCACCGCCTCAAACTAAGAAGACCTTTGGTTCTCTCTCGGATCACGATAGAATTTTTACAAATCTTTATGGTCGGCATGATTGGCGATTACAAAGTGCACTGAAGCAAGGAGATTGGTATAAGACTCAAGATATATTATTAAAGGGCTCAGAATGGATAATAAATGAAATAAAATCATCTGGTTTGAGAGGCCGTGGTGGTGCAGGCTTTGCCACAGGTCTTAAATGGTCTTTTATGAATAAACCCCCTGATGGTCGGCCTAAGTTTCTTGTAGTTAACGCAGACGAGGGTGAGCCAGGCACTTGTAAAGATCGTGAGATTTTACGACATAGTCCTCACAAACTCGTGGAAGGCTGTCTTTTAGCTGGGCGAGCAATAGGTGCCCGAGCAGCTTTCATTTATATTCGCGGTGAATTCTATAATGAGGCATGTAACACGCAAACAGCCATTGCTGAGGCTTATAATGCCGGTTTTCTGGGTAAAAACGTCTGTGGATCCGGATTCGACTTTGACGTTTATATGCATCGCGGAGCCGGTGCATATATATGTGGTGAGGAAACTGCTTTGATTGAGTCTTTGGAAGGAAAAGCTGGTAAACCACGTTTAAAGCCTCCATTCCCTGCAGATGTGGGTGTATTTGGTTGTCCTACAACTGTTAATAACGTAGAAACTATATCCGTAGCGCCTACCATTTTACGAAGAGGAGCCAATTGGTTTGCTAGCTTTGGTCGAACTCGCAACTCTGGTACGAAACTTTTTACTATTTCTGGTCATGTTAATAAACCTTGCAGTATCGAAGAAGAGTTATCTATGCCACTTAGGGAGATCATTGACCGTCATGCTGGAGGAGTGCGTGGCGGATGGGATAATTTGTTAGCTATTATTCCAGGAGGTTCTTCTACCCCAATGATCCCAAAGAAAGTTGTGGAAACCGTTATAATGGATTTTGATGGTCTTTTGGCTGCACAAACATCTTTAGGGACAGCGGCAATTATTGTAATAGATAAATCTACGGATGTCGTAAAAGCAATAGCACGACTCTCAACGTTTTACAAGCATGAGAGCTGTGGTCAGTGCACTCCTTGCCGAGAAGGTTTGGCTTGGATAAACAAAATCATGCAACGCTTTGTTACGGGTAAAGCTAAAATGGAGGAAATTAATATGATATTGGAGGTAACCAAGCAAATTGAAGGACACACCATATGCGCTTTAGCCGATGGAGCCGTTTGGCCTGTACAGGGTCTTATGCGTCACTTTAGGCCGGAAGTTAAAGCTCGAATAAAACAGTTTGAACAGATAACAAAGAGGAAGCATTCTGCTGGAGGATGTGCTTAATGAAGATTCTTTAACAAATTTTTTTAAAGCTCACTTTTTTGTATATCACAGCTATGAATATAGTTTAATAATCATCTTATTTTTCCTTCATAAAAAAATTAAACGCTTTTTCGCTATGTACCCTCAGAACGTCGTGAAAATTTGCACAGTTATTGGCTTTTGCCTGCAAAAGGTCCTAACGAAGGCCTATTGAAGTAAAACTTCTAATGGGAGTTCGGAAAATGTTGCGTTAAACGATTATCGCGCAGTGGTTAGAGTGTATGATGCATCCGCTAGTAAGTAAAGAGAAAGAAAAAGAGAGAGCTACGCAGCAAGTGTTGATGGCTTAGTGAGTGACGCATCACATACATACGTACCATCAATGAATCGTTCAAAATGTGAGTTATATTAATGAAACTAAGACATCACCTTTTTCGAGTCGTAGAATGGCTTGGTATCAAAAATGTATAAAATCAGTTTAAGATTAACCCTAGCTCCCAATTACTTACCACAAGAATTTTAAACATCCGGTTAATTGACTTTCCTGCTTATTTGAATAAACTGATCGGTCAAAAATATATTGCATACAACATATGTGTAAATTTTCCCGATTAATTGAACCCGGTTAATTGGTTTCCTCACACAATTGGTTAAAAATATGTGTTATTGAAAAAAAGATACCTTTAATTTCCCCCGGTTAATTGCCGCCGGTCTGGCATTGCCGCACATACAAAAACATGCCTCGTCCACAAAACGCCATGAAAAGCTGTAAAGTGCCATAACTAAGAACTAAATAAAGATATTAAACTGTAATTTGGCAAAGGGGATCGCTATAGAAGGGGACACCCTCCTTTGTTCAAGCCTTTAGATACCGAATATGTGGACCCCAGTGTCTATAGTTGATTTTATTTTAAGTCTCTTTGGTCGAATTGATATCACATAATCGTACATATGTATATCTCATTTGAAAGTGTTTTTAATAAAATTTTACAATTCTACAAAAACAAATCGTAATTAATATTTTTTTGTGTGAGTAACCGACTTACTTGTTTTTTATTTGGCAGGTTATTATATGAATCTTTTAAAAATGAATGCTTGGGATACCGAAAAGATGGTTTGGATAACGCAACGGTGGTATGCTGTGCAGTCCGTTATTTCTATTCAGTCCTAAGAGAATTCAGACGGGATTTTGGCGACCCTCCCCCGAGTAGATGGACCATTATCGCAAGAAGACCGTAGCATCCAGATCGTATGTTCGTGTTCAAGAAACAATCGCGGCTGTTGTATCGTCAATTCAGACAAATCCAAAAGTTTTGACTAGCAACTTATCGGCGTTAGCTGACGGTCCTTACAACAGATGACTTAATGATGATGTTGACTTAAACCTGTTACCGTACAAAGTTAAAATAACAAGTCATTTAAATCCTCTAGATTTGCCTATTCGCTTGAAATTTTGCCAAAAAAAATTTTTGAAATAGCCGAAGAAGACAATAACTTGATAAATTGCCTGTTTATGTCTGATGAGGCCTATATGGAGTGAATCAAATCCAGAAATAATCCACGAGACGGTACTTCAACCAGAATGAGTCACTGTGTGGGGCGCAGTTTTATTAAGGTGTATTGTCGGGTCATACTTCTGTGAACAAAACGGTGTAACAGTAACTGTCAATGGGTACCGTTATTTAAATACGTTGAATGAGTTTTTAACCCAAAACGTATATTTTTTATGGGGTTATGTCAAGCAAAAGGTGTACAAAACAAAACACAGAAATCTGACTGAACTGAAGCAGTCCATTAAATCGATAATTGAGGCAATCCCGACATCAACCCTTCAGGCCGTAATTAATAATTTTCTAAGTAGGTGCCGTATATGTTTGGCTGAGCATGGAGGTCATTTACTATACTTAATTTTTAAAAATAATTAACTATATAAAATAAAATAAAATTTGATTATTATTTCATCATTGATTAATAAAAATTTATTACTATTTGTTTTTGTAGCACGATTCGTGAGCCACCCTGTAGTGGGCGCCGACGAATATTCGTCGTACTCGGCGACGCCGTGGAAAGAATTTTCGTCGAGTGTTGCCGCCGTGCAAAACACAATACTAAAGATTTTCGTCGCAGCTAGTGTGTATTCCGCGTTCAAAAATAACATAATATATGACGAAATCAAACATTAACAATGTTAATATTGCCAAAGCAAACATTTTCTTAAATTTTTTTTTAAATTCTTAATATTGTTACTGAAAATAATTATTCTTTGATTTGGTGATGCCGTTTTTGCCGCCGCGGTCAGCGATAAAATTAGAAATAGCTCTATCTTAAAAATCATCATGGTGGTAGAATTTTGCCGACGTTGTGTTCATCTTTATATACAATCGACGGCGTCGCCGAGTACGACGAATATTCGTCAGATTATTCAGAATAAGACTTTTATTCTTTGTTAAAGTGAACAAGAAAAAACAAGAATCCGAGTAAAGAATGATTTGATAGGAAACTCTTTGTTTCGAGAGAGAGCTGTCAAAACCCACATATTTTATAACATGTGTCAATCATGCCACTGTCGAAAGAAAATGGATTGGGTATTTTATTTGGGTATATTATTTTTAGGTGCTCCGTTTCCGCATATACATCCCTAAATACGTGTATTCATATTATAAAATTTTTCAATATTATATAACATTAAACAAATAAAAATGTAATAAAAAACGGTTAAGGAAGGGCTAAGTTCGGATGTAACCGAACATTTTATACTCTCGCAAAGTCAAATGGTATACTCGTTTGAAATTTCTTGGTGGATTGACTGATATTTTCGGTAGAAGGTCAACTGTAGGCACTGGGGTCCACATATTTAGTATTTAGGGGCTTGAACAGTTTTGGTTCGATTTAGACAATTTTTGGTCACAAGGTGACATACTTTAAACGTATTATTCACGATTATACCCCGATATAATCATTGTTGCTTGATATGCATAGTGGAAAGTGAAAGAATCAGATGGAATTGAAAATGGTGTTATATGGGAAAAAGGCGTGGTTGTGGTCCGATTTCGCCCATTTTCGCACTATGACATAGAAATATAAAAAACGTTATGCACCAAATTTGGTTGAAATCGGTTTAGCAGATCCCAAGATATGGGTTTTCACCTAAAAGTGGGCTGTGCCACCCCCACTGTCTAATTTTGAACGCGGTTCCTATAAAGTCATCTCATATGATTCCAGAGATAAAATTTAATGCCTCTGGCGTGTTTAGTGCTTGATTTATCGCGCTTTTAGTAGTTTTTAACTGTACCGTTATATGGGGAGTGGGCGGAGTTGCCACCCGATTTCAACTCTTTTCACACTGTAGATAGAGCTTCTAAAAATATTTGCTTCCAGTGAATTTCGTTATTATAGCATTAGCGGTTTTGGAGATATGCACATTAAACCCATAAGGCCCCTCCATAATGTGATCCTGTGTCCCAAATAACAGTCTTGTATCTTATTGCGGAGCTTAGTTATGGCAATTTATTTGTTTTTGATTAATGGCGTTTTGTGGGCGTGGCAGTAGTCCGATTACGCCCATCTTCAATACCAACCGTCTCACGATACCAAGAAACATGTCTACCATATTTCATAAAGATGTCTAAGTTTTTACTCAAGTTACAGCTTGCACGGACGGACGGACGGACTGACAGTCACCCGGATTTCAACTCGTCTCTTCACCCTGATCATTTATGTACATATATATAACTCTATATCTAACTCGATTAGTATTAGGTGATACAAACAACCGGTAGGTGAACAAAACTATTATACTCTGTAGCAACAAGTTGCGAGAGTATAAAAACAACAAAAAGTAATAATGGAACGTGAATGAAAATGATGAATGACCTCTTTATGCCATCATGTGGCCACGTGAAGTTTTTCATTCAAAAAGCCGTAAAGAGTGCGCTCTTAAGTGTAAAAGAATTTTATGAAAAGTAAAAACTATACAACAAACGTAATCGTTATTAAAAATAAATACTGAATGAATTGAGCAAATTAATGAAAATTATTTGAAATGTAAATGTTGTGAGGTTATAATCGATAACGTTGGGAGCGGAAATTAAAAGATTAATGGCGCCGACGTGTGCATATTTTAAACAAAACAGTTAACAGAACTAAAGAATAAATATTGAAAAATACAAATTTAAGGAGAAAGTGAAGTATAAACGTAAAAAAGTGAAATGTGCACAGAAGCCTTACACGAAAATGGAGGTTAACGGAAAATAAGTCACGTTATTTGAGTGACAGACGAATAACCGAACATTTTATACATACTCTCGCAACTAGCTAGGATCAAAGCCCTGTAAACTACTTCAGTTTAGGAGGTATGCACAATAATTCTATTAGGGCCGAGACTACGCCCATTAAAAAAACAATTAACTGCAGATGTCGCTCCTAATGTGGTGCTGTATACCAAATAACAGTCTTGTTACTTATTGTGGAGCTTAATTATGGCAATATATTTGTTTTTGATTATTGGCGTTTTGTGGGCGTGGCAGTGGTCCGATTACGCTCATCTGCATACCAACCGTCTTATGGTACCAAGAAACATGTGTACCAAGTTTCATTAAGATATCTCAATTTTTACTCAAGTTACAACTTGCACAGATGGACTGACGGACAGACATTCACCCAGATTTCAACTCGTCACTTCATCCTGATAATTTATATATATATATATAACAAACAACATCTGTACAAATGGTTGCGAGAGGGTAAAAAAATGAAAAGTATATAAACCCAGTAAAGTATATTCGTACCCAATTTATTGGGGAGTATACACCAGGACAGGATATTCACTTTACTTACGTCACTTAGAATCGCGTTAATTAGTTAAATAAACATGCCATTTATTTCGTGCGAAAGATTTTATTAAAACAAACCAGGTAATATTTTATAAAGCAGGTAAAATTATTTAATAAAGGATGATCGAATAACTGTCCGAATGGAATCCGCAGCAAAAAAAAAGTCCGGAGCGATGTTGAACGACGTGGTATAAACATAAAAGGTAAGGTGGCGCTCAGGCCCGTAAACGATAAGAGAATATTTAAGATGGTGCGGCATACATTGATGTAGTTATATCCATATTTATGTATGCATTTTGCTGTGCCTGCAAAAGAGATGTAACTTTAGTTTGCGTGTTTTGAGGTTGTATTTGCTTTGCGTACTTATTGAATTTGCGGTTGTTTCTTTTATAATTTTATTATTTGTTTAAAATTTCTTTACCATCAGTTTATTACGGTTAGCGACTCCACGCCTGGCTCAGATATGGCCAGAATGGATGCTCCTTTGAAACCTTTGAAGAGGGATCTTGCGAGAGTGAGATTTGTGATTTTTGCTCACTTTTTTGAAGTGAGATTTGCTACTTTCACAAGTGTTTCCCATAACCTACCCATATGATTAGCGCTTAGATAGATGCGATAAGTGCGACCTTTGCTTTTTGTAAGTCTGGGTGCGTCACTGTATCACATTGGAAGTACGGTGATCCCATAACTTTAATTATACCCTGAACAGGGTATATTTTGCCACGAAGTTTGTAACACCCAAAAGGAAACGTCGGAAACCATATAAAGTATATATATAAATGATCACCATGACGAGCTGAGTTGATTTAGCCATGTCCGTCTGTCTGTCCGTCCGTCTATATATACGCGAACTAGTCCCTCAGTTTTTGAGATATCGATCTGAAATTTTGCACCTGTCCTTTTCTCACAAAGAAGCTGCTCATTTGTCGGAACCGCCGATATCGGATCACTATAGCATATAGCTGCCATGTAAACTGAACAATCGGAATCAAGTGTTTGTATGGAAAACTTTTTCATTTGACGAGGTATGTTCACAATATTTGGCATGAGTTTTTGCTAGAAGAAGTAATGCAATCTCCGAAGAAATTGTTCAGATCGGATCACTATAGCATATATC